GGCAAGAGCCATATTCGTCCTGTGCAACTGAACTGAACTGAACTGAACTGACCTTGAACACTGTTCTTCCTGTCCAGTCGCTACATGAATTTCTTGTTGTACGTTTTTGGGTTTTTTCCTGTGGTTTATTCTTGTGGTTTGTATAATAACTTCCCGTAGAATCTTAGGGATATTTATTGAATAGACGTTTAGGCGTTTACCGTTGGACACATTCACGATACACATTAATTTTGGAGACGGAACTGTCGCCTGGCTAAGCAAGTTCTCCTTGGCGTTGAACTGCAGCTTTTAAGTATGGTAATGTTGAGAAGTTTATCCGAAAGAAATTATACTTCGCTGGGTTACTCGATCGGTAGACGGAAGTTTGTAAAACGAGTACACCTTAAGAGCTTAGTCCTGTGCTTTTAAAAGTGGCGTTTATATTTTTAGGGTGGTCGCGGTCAATTTAAGGCGTGCATCATAGTCATGATGGTTTTTATTACACACATTACATAAGCCCCGGAATTTGAAGTGGCGAACCGCATAAGGTTCTGAGAAACATCTGTTACTGGCGAGATGTAAACCGCTTGTTGGGCTTTAGTCTTTCATCAACAAAATTGACACGATTTCAAACGGAGTAAGCTAACGCAAAATGTCGGTAATATTGCTGGTTGAAGGACCGGGTTACTAATTTTGTCTTTTCCCGAAATAGTGCTGGTATTTGCGCACTTTTCAATGTATTGCAAAGGTCGTTGCATATTGGCGTGTAGTTTGCCCTGTCAGGAGTGTTTCGAATAGAAAATAAACGTCCCTGAGACTTGAATATGGCTGCGGTGAACTTCGAATGGGAGTTGTTAGGATCCTTCAGTTTCTATGTCCCAAGGAAACATTTTCTATTAAGAAAAGGAGCACATTAGTATCGAAAATAGCAGGGTTAATTTCCGAGCTCACACTGCTATAGGTCCATTTTTCGCTAAGCACTTTTGTGTGGTGAACAGCTGAATGGATGGAGCCCGTGGCAACAAAGACCTTCGGTTCGCTGATGATAGCCAGCATGTTGGAGCCGTGAACCATAGGTGGTGGTAGCGCGGTTGTTTAGTTGCTGTCACAGGCGTTCTTTGGACCCTATAGTCCCAGTTTCGAGTCTCACCATCCGATTTTGGTGGTAGGTATCTATGCTGTCTTTCGGTTCAATATCGCTCCTAAACTAGCGGGGCATTATGTGGTTCTCCACTTCAAGCCTCTGGGCTTATGTTACCGGTCTCCATCAGTGCCAGCAAGTCCTTGTGAACATGGGTTTACCCTGTCTACTGTTCGTCACAATCAGATGTTTACTTTAAAAAATTATAAATCCGTAATGCGATAGGCGTAGTACTAAACGAAACGACAGAAACTGTATGCTCCCAGAGATGAGTGTTAATCGCGGGGTTTAAACCTCGGACCTCATGGCTTAGAACACGCCAGTGCCCGACTTAGATATGGACTGCGCGAAAGCAAAAAGTACATTGGGAAATTTCCAATTTGGAGTACCATAAAAATAGATGAAGCAAATCTGTAAGGTCAGCGATGATTCTTTGTGATATTTTTTGTGATTATTTTACGAAAAATTGCTTGATATGGTATGATAGATGTTCTGCTCAAGCTCCATATCAACGGCTGTTTTGACATCATGCAGTGAGAAGAACCAATTTTAAGAGTGAAAACAATGTCATGCGCGTAATCCTACGGGGAGAGGATGAGATGCATAGAGAAACAGTCAACGAAAATAAAACCATCCTCGTCAGTGCAATTTCACTCTTCCACAGCATGTGATTCAATCACACATAGATCGATTTCGAGCTCCGTGATGTCTATTGAATCCTTATTTTTTATTACACAATGTGAATGACAGTAACAGGGGAAATCTCCACAGACAAATAGCATACTGTTAAAGGGAGAGTAGGGGAACATTCACGTAAGCTCCAGTTTATTTATTCTGCGTTTAAGGAGTTTAAGGTTGTAAGTTAAGGGAAAAGCAGAAAGTGCGAGTGTGCCACAACTTGGCAGTTAGGGAAAAAAGATTAGAGCAGAGAAGTACGACATCGGAGGCTGAAATCTGATAAGAATGACTAGTTGCCTGTGTACGAGATGGGCGGGTAAAAGTTGCGGGAAGAGGGACTACCGGGACAAGTTCCGAAGAACAAAAACCAAAGTAGTAACGATGTAGCAGGGGCAATAAAGCAACTACCCGACGATGGGCTAGTGACCTCAGACTGGATGTTAGGGAAGGATCAGCGATTAACCGGATGACCTTTTCGTTGAACACGATCAGAAAAAGGAAAGGGGAAAAGACGAAACCCCACCACACACGTGACTATAGTATTCAAGAGCAGGGTGGATTTGCACAGTAGATAATGAGTTGGGGTGAAAAAAACATCTGGAGCAAAATCACAGACCAATCATGCGCGCAGCACCAGAAACAAGCTCAGCAATAAAAGGTGACCAGCGTAAAGAAGAAGTTCAGAAATGTTGGTACACTTGATTTTTGTATTTGATGGAGATGAAGCAGTGCCCCTTTGCACTGCTGGATGGGGAACTTGAGGCCATTGTGATGGTTTCTCTAAGTGGGAGTTTTTTCCACTTATTGATGAGTACTAATCTCTCGGAAACGTACCTTGCTGAGCCCGGTGTCGATCAAAGCACGACAAGGCGCTCCATTGACCTCAAGATCCAGGACGGATTTTGAGAGGCACGTAGGAGAGTTAGTTTCGATAGTTGCCGATATGGATGGGCAAGCGGCAGATTTAGTGTGAATTTGTTGGCCTTTTGAGAGAAAAACTTTAGAAGTGACCCTTTTTACCACAACCTTTATAAAGACCATATCTTGCGGAGAATTTCGAGCGAGGGTGCTTGTCGAGGTCACTTAGGGAGGACTACGGCGACGATTCTATCGTCAGAGCACTCTATCGAAGACTTATGGGGGAGGGAGGAGTCGATGAGGGTGCACGTATAGGCGCCCTGTGGGATGCGATGGGAAAGTCCTGGTAGGACATGGATTGTTGCTCTGCCATTTCTAGAGCTCTCGCTTGATCGAAGGCCCTTTCTCTATAGCTCTCTTTGATCATAGCAACCACCTCAGAGCCCTTGTCTTGTTTGAGGCCTTTTGAAAATCCAGCAAACTGTTTCCCATTAGGCGTTGTCTGATCTGGTTGGATTGAATTCCACTAATAAATGCATCTCGGAGGGCATCGTCTCGGTTTTTCTCGGGGGTAGTGAACCTGAAACTGTGATCTCTTGCTAGGGACTTTAACTTTTGAATGAACTGATCGAGAATTTGCCCACTGTCCTGTTTGGCTGTGGCGAGGATATGACGGGCGAAGACCTCATTTTTTGGGGCGCACATAGAGGTTATTGAGCGTTTCCATAGTCAATTCAAAGGTTTCACATTCCACTACTTGTCCCTCAACAGCAGGAGATATGTATGAAACCAGCATATCCAGTTTATCGGATTTTAACTTACCCAGTGAATTGAGGGGGCTGAGGAAAGTCCTGTACCAATGGTTCCACTGCCTGGTAGCATCTGATGAGCTAGGTTCAGCATCGAACCGTTCGAGGCGTAATATTCGATCCATTGTTGTATGTCCAATAAATTGTAGTGTTAGTGCAGGATGCACGAGAAACCAGAACGTTAGGCTTTATTCGACATATGATTCAGAAAAGCGATGTACTACGTATTATGTCAAACTGCACGGTGGTCACCATCGATGTTGGTTTGAGCATGACAAGTAGTGCGGTAGGAGAGGGAGAAGTGGAGAGTGGAGTCATCGGCAAAAGAATAGATCAGGTTAACAGTTTTGGAAAGGAGCTCATCAGTGAATAGAAGAAAGAGAGTGGGCGCAAACACTGAACCTTAGGGAACACCAGCATTCATAAGGAATTGCTGAGATAGAATCCCATCCACACTGACGGAGATGGTTTGCGCACTGAGGAAACTTAATGTTCACGCCACAAGCGCCAGAGGGAATGCGAACATGGGTAGTTTCGCTAGTAGATCGTGCCAAACTCGGTCGAAGGCCTTTTAGATGTCAGGCGTGTTTCTCCGTCATCATCGTGTAGCGAAATACAGTGAAGCGAACTTCGCTGATTGCTGCCAAATGTTTCTCCGGGGTTATCGAGGGCAGCTAACCAGGATTGTGAGACAAGAGTCAGCAGGTCACTAGTGGAGCGGCGTTGTCCGAAGCCATACTGACGTTCGCTTAGTAGTCGTTCACGTTCGAGGAACGTGCGTATTTGGTCAGATATGAAGGAAATGTGTCGGTAATTGTTGGGGTCAGAAAGATTGCCACGTTTGGGAATGGGAAAAATTACGGCATGCCTCCAACGGGTTGGGAAAAAAGAAAGTTGAAGGGAAAGACTGAAAAGACGACGTAAGGTAGGAGCCAGCTCGGGAGCACACATTTTGTGGACAATGGATGGAATACCGTCCGGACCGGATGGTTTGTTTGCGTTTAGAGAGAGGGCAATGTTTGACGGATTTTCCTAGTGCTGATATGAGGTAGAAGAGGGTTACCAGTGAAGAAGTATGAAGGTGGAGATGTGGGATAATTGGGTAAGGTGGAATTTTCAAAGGTGTAATTCGTCGTGTATATAGCAAATGAAGCCTGAACTGAAAGCTAGGAAGCGCTGAACAGCTATTTCCACCTGGTTGGCTCTCATCAGCAGTGGGAAGTGGTGGCCAACTGGGAAGTCAAAACCTCATTTTTCTAGTGTGGTTAACATACAAGATCACCAGAGGAATTACAGATAGGGGGGAAGTTGGAAGAGCAAAAATTACGGAAATTGCTTTGGCAATGAACCAAAATGTTCGGTTACCGGTGGCGGACAAGATCAAGTTTTTGGCTTTATGGCGAACAAAGCGTTTTTCGGTTCTCTGAATGGTCTTCGAGCAT